AATCAAAACCTCAGCCCCACTGCTCCCATAATGCTCTTCACTTTATTTACTTTTTAAGGGGAGACTAAATCCCAAAAAAAAACTGATCACTCGCTTTTAACTTTTGTAAATTATTCATCGATATATTTTGAAAAAAAAAAAAGAATAACAACTTCAAATACTGTATAATATTCATACATTATGAATAATAGGAAGATTGGTTATAACTATGGCTTAAGAGTTATTATTTATTATTTAACCTCGGCGCTCTTAAAACACTGAATATAGAACACAGCTTTACACACACACACACACACACACACACACACACACACACACACACACCAAGATGAACCGATCATGTGTGTGTTAACTTAGGTGGGTCACGTAGGAGTACATACCTCAGGCATCCCCAATGGGGTTTTCCCCGTAGAACAATAAATAACGCTAGTGGTAACAATTCATCTCCCCCTTGGCCAACCCCGGCCCTTGTGTTCACGAGGGTAAGATGTGTTCACTCCTCTCCCTCACAACACACACAACCTATAACCCTCACCTGTCACAACCCAACACAGATCAATATATATAAAAAATCTATGAATATAACTTTATCTATTGTAAATATTATAATCTACTCGTTGCCATATAGACGACAGAACATGTTAATTGCTTACCAGAGTCCATGGGTTCCTTCAGGGGCGAAACATAGTGGTGAGGGGACGATGGTAAGGGGGAAAGGCCAGAGGCGTTCGTGTTCTCCCTCTTGGCATTTATGAAAAATTCCAGCAGTACGGTGTGAGGCAGTTGCATTGGGTCAGGAGAGTCACACTGTACCATCTCGAACACACACATACACCATACACACGCACATACTATACACACATACACAACAAACAGCACACTATATACACGTCTTTAACACAAACACACACATACACCATACACACGCACATACTATACACACATACACAACAAACAGCACACTATATACACGTCTTTAACACAAACACACACATACACCATACACACGCACATACTATACACACATACACAACAAACAGCACACTATATACACGTCTTTAACACAAACACACACATACACCATACACACGCACATACTATACACACATACACAACAAACAGCACACTATATACACGTCTTTAACACAAACACACACATACACCATACACACGCACATACTATACACACATACACAACAAACAGCACACTATATACACGTCTTTAACACAAACACACACACGCTACGACAATGGAGCTTAATTTAACACGTTATATTTTGGGGGTTTTCTAAGTTACGCTATAGTTAACATCTGGTGAGTTTAAATTAACATGTTGTATAAAGAGGAACAATTTAACACAATTTAGCGATGGTAACAGTGTAGGATTAATCTAACATGTTAAATATTGAGCTCAACATTGGTGGGGGTTTAACTGACATGTTTATAAGCGGAGGTTAACATTGGTGTGGGTTAATTTATTATGTTAAATTCTGTGGATTATTGCTGTATGATTAATCTACCATGTTAAGTAATTATTGTTAGTTATGGTTAATCAAGATATTAATTCTGTAGTACTGTAATTAAATCCAGGTACAGTCTGGTGTGAGGATTAACCAACATGTTAAATACAGAGGTTAATTACCACACTAATTTGAGATGAGGTTAATATTGCTTATTTCGAGGTCAAGTTAATATATCAAGGTTAATATTGTGGTTACCTTTGAGTGAGGTTAATATTACTTATTTCGAGGTCATTGGAGGTCAAGTTAATATATCAAGGTTAATATTGAGGTCAACTTTGAGTGAGGTTAATATAACATGTTAAATACAGAGGCAAATAATAGTGATAACTTTAAATAAAAAAAAAAAGACCAAAAAGGAACGAAACATTGAACAATAATTAATGGTTTATTTTCTGGGGTTAAGAAGAGAAAGGGAATTTCTGCTGAACACGAATTATTACCCACTACACTTAAGGGTTAATTCCCGTCAATACACCTGTAAACACCTGCCACGTCCTGACAGGTGTAGATGGGAGGTAAATATTGACAAAGACAACGTTAAAACACAAAACAAATGACAGATATCGAAGATGTATTCAGCTTAGCAAAATAAATGGTTGTATGACTACCCTCGTCACTGAGGCCCCATAAGTCAGCGCTCTCCTGGTTGGCTGGCACGGGAGAAGGATCAGCCAATCAGGAAGCAAGGAGGAGCCGTGACACCCCCCCCCCTCCCCCCAGACACATACCACGATCATCATGGAGCCGAGTTAATGTTTTCTCTTGTTTGGTTTTGTTCCTCCGGGTGTGTGTTAAGTTGTAGCCAGATAAAACCTACAGGTGTGGAGGTGGACGGGCCGATAACACCCGCTGTAGGCCTGTAGAGGAGGAGGGAAGGAAAGGGGGGTGGGGGTGAGCGCGTCTACTGTGATTGGCACCTCTGTTGCACACGCAGGTCAATTTTCTTTCTTTTTCCGCCCTGACTCGAGAAAAGCAAAAACCTCGTCACTGTTGATCGAGACAGGAGCGGGGACGGAGGACCTGGGCGGCACTCGCACACAAGCGCCCCGAGCGTCGCCGCCGCCACCGTCACCTGCTGCTGCGCCTCCTTCACCAGCGTTCTCTTCCCTTCCTTACTGTGGATTTACGGCCAGATAGGAGGTGCTCGTGCGTGTGTGTGTGTGTGTGACCAGGACGTGATGGAGGTGTGGTGGGTTATGACTGTGTGGCCGCTCCTCGTCACAGCTCACTCAGGTCACTCAGGTAAGATGTTACTCCTGAAGGGGGTGACGGTGCTCGCCTCCCCCCTCACACCACACTGTTCAGCCTCCTCCCCAGGACTCTTAAGAGCTTCATACGGATTGTTTTATTCACTAAAAAGAATAATAATAGTAAAAAAGACTCATTCATGCCAGAGTCTCAGTGGAATTTCAACGTCATTATAGCCTTCATGTGTCGCAGGTAAACTGAGCCAATTACATACCTTTACTAATCAAGTTTTGTGGGGTAAATTAAAGCACGACCCTTGAGTACCTGTGTTTTGACCTTACCTCAATAACACCTAACGGAACACACACAACAGGGAGAGGAATCTTAACTATACAGCGTCCATACAAACCCTACAGGTGTATCATACTGCTCCAGGTAACACACACGCATTAATCACCGGTTTGTTTACATATAGACGAAAACTGATCCTGCCGGAATTTTTTAAAGCGTTTTTTTATGATATATCCGATTTTAATGACGTGATTGATACGGATTTTTGGTTGTCAATTAAAAGTTGTTTTTTTTAATATATTTAACATAACGAGAAGTAAAGGTGTGCAGTGTGTGTTTTACCTGTCACTGATTCACTCCTTCAACACGGGACCTCACCTGGCTCACCCGACCCCTTACTTCCTAGTCAACAGGTAACTAAATAAAAAAAAAATAAATAAATAAATAAATCAGTCGTCATGTACTGTATACCCCCACCCGTCTGCCACATCCCCACCTGTCTGCCACACCCCCACTGCCCCCCCACCCGTGCCCACATCCCCACCTGTCTGCCCACACCCCACCCGTCTGCCCACACCCCCACCCGTCTGCCACATCCCCACCTGTCTGCCACCCCACCGTCTGCCACACCCACCCGTCTACCCACACCCCACCCGTCTGCCCACATCCCCACCTGTCTGCCACACCCCCCACCTGTCTGCCACCCACACCGTCTGCTATCCCCACCTGCTGCCATACCCCCACACCCGTCACACACCCCCGTCTGCCACACCCGTCACCCCGTCTGCCATACCCCGTCTTACCCCACCCGTCTGCCATACACCCCCCCACCCACACAATTATATTTCTACAGTACTTTAACTACAAACACCCTCCCTGGTGAACCTTGTAATATAATGTTGTAATAATATTCTATAACCGATACAAAACTAACTTCCAGGTGTGTACAGGCGTGTTAGGCGTCTTATCTTACCTGAACAATACCCATAATGCAAAAACTAATTACCTGTATGTACCATTTTACACCTGTTAATAAATATACCATAGAAATGATCGCTACACACTTAACAAATTAATTATAAAATACATCAAATCAAATACACAAAACGATTATTAAAATTCCACCCCCAAAAAACATATTAAACTATAATTAACAAAATACAAAAGGAAGCAATAGAGAAAATTAATTATATTCTCAAATAGAAAACAAAATTAATATACCTCAATTATAAAATTCCTCACAAACAGAAAAAAAAATATTAACTCACTGTAATTCTGCCAACACCATCGCCTCTCCTTACCGACCAGTGGCTCAGGGAGGACCTTGTATACAGCTTCTGAAGGGGAGGTTAATGAGATGGGTTTGGACAGCAGGAGAAGGTGTTTGTGGTGATCGTGGTTTGATTACGGGAGTGACTGAAAGTTTTTGATATTAATCCCTTGAGTACGACGAGTTAACCCCTTGAGTACGGTGACAACCCCCTTGAGTACGACGAGTTAACCCCTTGAGTACGGTGACAACCCCTTGAGTACGACGAGTTAACCCCTTGAGTACGACGAGTTAACCCCATGAGTACGGTGGCAACTAGAGTACGGTGAAAATTGGTTGGTTACGATGATTTAACCTCTTTGAGTACGATAATTTAATCCCCGAGTACGATGACCTAGCTCCTTGAGTACGAAGACCTAACCTTTTGATTACAATAACATGATCATTTGAGTACGTTACCTGAAACCCTCAATTGGGTACAATGACCTAACCCCTCGAGTACATAGACCTAACCCCTTGAGTACGGAGACCTAACCCCTTGAGTACGGAGACCTAACCCCTTGAGTACATAGACCTAACCCCTTGAGTACGGAGACCTAACCCCTTGATTACATAGGCCTAACCCCTTGAGTACGTTACCTTAATCCCTCGAGTGAGTACGATGACCTGGTCCTCTGAGGTGCTAGGTGTGACAGGTAATCAGCCGCTGTAGACGTTTACCTGTTGGCTGGTGTAGACAGCAGTCCATCTCATCCCCGGGTAACAGTTCTCACGTAAAATCTTGTACATTATCCTGTAATAATAATAATGATGATGATGATGATAATAATAATAATAATAATAATAATAATAATAATAATAATAATAATAATAATAATAATAATAATAGTAATAGTAATAATAGTGATAATAATAATAATAGTGATAATAATAATGATAGTAATAGTAGTAGTAAACTAATAATAATAATAATGATAGTAATAGTAATAATAACAGTAGTAGTAAACTAATAATAGAGAATACATTAAAACTAAAACTATCAATAAAATACAAATAATAATAATACCCGTAATAATAATATTTATTATAATAATAATGATAATAATAATATAATAATAATACCCGTAATAATAATAATAATAATAATAATAATGACAAACTTAAGAAGTGTCACTATAATAAATTTTCAGGGAAGTAAATAAACAAACTAAAATACATCATTCATTTATTTTTATAACTTGACAATAATTTCTTCTTCCTGTCACCAGTAGCGGAGTTTATTTTAAGAATTTTTTTTTTCAGTTCATAGTAGAATTTCTGATATATTTATCAAGTGATGAAGTTTACGATTATTATTATTATTATTTTATCATCATCACCAGCATTATTATTATTATTATTATTATTATTATTATTATTATTACTGTTATTGTTATTATCCCTTCTTCGTCTCCTCATTATCACTATTATTACCTTTAGTATTTTTGAACAATTATCATCATTTCTTCATTACTTTCCCACAGGTCACCGATAATAATTACTCAATAACTAACATTCTATTAAGAAATATTCGCTCTAACCTAACCTAACCTAAACATAACGTACATATAACATAGACATAACATAAATATAACCTAACTTAACCATAACATAATCGAACATAACCCATTTTTAACATCCCATCACGAAATATTCAACCCAACGTAAATCTAACCTAAGATAACATAAACCTAACCTAACCTAACCTAACCATAACCCGAGCTAAACATAACATAATATAAATGTAACGTAATCCTAACCTAACAAACATAACCTAACAAACATAACCTAACCATAACATAACCTAACCATAACATAACCTAACCATAACATAACCTAACCATAACATAACCTAACCATAACATAACCTAACCATAACATAACCTAACCATAACATAACCTAACCATAACATAACCTAACCTAACATAACCTAACCATAACATAACCTAACCATAACATAACCTAACCCAATAATTAATACTCTATGACGTCACCTTAATCACAAAAATAGTGACGTTTTCGGTGACCTAAGAAAATGAGATATATTTTATTGGCTCAGCGGCTGTTATCTTTCTTAGTGAGACAAGAAGTGAGAAATAATTTGATAACAGATAACTTGATAAATAGATAACTTAGTAATTTATGGATTGATAATTAGGTCACTGATATAACAGGTCGATTGATGGTATAATTGGTCGATCGCTGGTATACAGTCGATCGCTGGTATACAGTCGATCGCTGGTATACGGTCGATCGCTGGTATACAGTCGATCGCTGGTATACAGTCGATCGCTGGTATACAGTCGATCGCTGGTATACAGTCGATCGCTGGTATACAGTCGATCGCTGGTATACAGTCGATCGCTGGTATACAGTCGATCGCTGGTATACAGTCGATCGCTGGTATACAGTCGATCGCTGGTATACGGTCGATCGCTGGTATACAGTCGATCGCTGGTATACAGTCGATTGCTGGTATACAGTCGATCGCTGGTATACAGTCGATCGCTGGTATACGGTCGATCGCTGGTATACAGTCGATCGCTGGTATACAGTCGATCGCTGGTATACAGTCGATCGCTGGTATACGGTCGATCGCTGGTATACAGTCGATCGCTGGTATACAGTCGATCGCTGGTATACAGTCGATCGCTGGTAGCCGCAGTCGATCGCTGGTATACAGTCGATCGCTGGTATTCGCCACGATCGATCGCTGGTATACTGATCGATCGCTGGTATACAGTCGATCGCTGGTATCCTGATCGATCGCTGAGTATACCAGTCGATCGCTGGTATACAGTCGATCGCTGGTATGCGGTCGATCGCTGGTATCCTGATCCTCGATCGCTGAGTATACGGTCGATCGCTGGTATACGGTCGGTGCTTCTGACGCACGAAATCGATCGCTGGTAAATTAAAATTAGTCCATTATGCGGTCGATCGCTGGTATTGTGCGATCAGTCGCTGGTATGCGATCGTCCGCTGTTATACAAATCGATCGCTGGTATACGGTCGATCAGCTGGTATACGATCGATCGGCTGGTATACGATCGATTGCTGGTATACGATCGATCGCTGGTATACGGTGATCGCTGGTATTCTGATCGATCGCTGGTATACAGTCGATCGCTGGTATGCAGTCGATCACTGGTATACGATCGATCGCTAGTATCGATCGATCCTTTAGTGCCTGATCGATCGCTGGTATACGGTCGATCGCTGGTATACAGTCGATCGCTGGTATACAGTCGATCGCTGGTATACAGTCGATCGCTGGTATACGATCGATCGCTGGTATACGGTCGATCGCTGGTATACAGTCGATCGCTGGTATACAGTCGATCGCTGGTATACAGTCGATCGCTGGTATACGATCGATCGCTGGTATACGGTCGATCGCTGGTATACGATCGATCGCTGGTATACGATCGATCGCTGGTATACAGTCGATCG